CCTTCCAGACGGCGCGAGGCACTTCCCCTCCCTGCCCATGCTCCTGCTCGGGCTCGGGGGGCTCCTCTGAAGTGAGTCCCATCTGCCCCAAACGCTGGCTCCCCGGACCCCACCCCACCAGCCAGACCCCTAACCCCTGGCGACAGACCTACAGAGAAGCCAACACAACCTACACTCCAGGCATCGTACTTCACTCCTCACTTGCTACAGAGGTTGCTTGACTGTTCCAGAAAAATCCTGCTAAGTTAGGCCCCCAGTGCTGTCCATTGTTTTATAACAGTAACCTCTCCAACTTTCGAAAGGTCACCGGACACGTTTCTGTGGGCTGGCCCAGGGGCTGAACCACCTTCTGCTGCAAGCCTGGGGCTCTGTCCTCAGAGGGAATTCCCACCATTCCCGGCCTGAAGCACGACCCTCTACCTGCCCCAGCTGACCTGCGCAGGACGCCGGCACAGGGCGGGAGAGCGGACAGGGCCTCGGATCAGGAGCCCAATCTGCTCTCAACGCGACATGACCTCTCTCTGGGAGCCTCCACAGAAGGGACAGCCCTGGAAACAAACTCAGGGGCTGCATCTTATCTAAAGGGGGTATAAACTGATCCACGTGGCTTTCTGAGACCTGAGAAGGGGCTGTGACCAGGAGGTCAGGCTGACGTGGTGCCAGGCCTCTGCTGGGGTCTGCCAGGGACTGTGGGCGACCAAGCACAAACTTCCCAGCTGAGGCCAAGGTCCCCACATGCCTGGATTACCGTGGAGGCAACAGCCTCTTTCTGGGAGCATGACCCGGGACACACAAGGAGTTGGGAGAGGGAGCGCATTCTGCCTTTTTAAAAACTGGACCGAGGCCAGAGGGGAAGTGGAACCCTCAGGTCTGAATGCAAGACTGGACGGGTCTCTCTGGCCGCCAGGTCAGCCCAGCCCTTGGCAGATCCCGTTCCAGGGACCTGGAACCTCCCGGCCGTGCACCAGCACCATGCTCCTCATCACGGGCACACTGCTCAGCCCCTGAGAGCGCCAGGCCAGGCCTCCCAGATGGCGGGGGCGCCCGGAGTTTACCAGCCTCGCCGACGAACACCTCCACGGGCGCGCTGCTGGGCTCTCGCCGATGATGTTGTAGGCCGTCAGGATGACCTCATGACACCGGCGTTTCTCAGAGCTACAGGTGGAAAGAGACAGGGGTCAGCTGGCCCGGGAACACCTCGTTCTTCCCACTCCTTGAACATTTAGCTTTGCTGGGCCCTTGTAAGTCTTACCTTCCCTGGTGTCCTCGGTGAAATCCCTTTTCCCTGACAACCTATCTCAAATGGCTCCTCCTCCGTGAAGCCTCCCCTGATTGCCACACTGGGTGCAAGACCCCAAAGCCCAGGAGCTCTCCATGGGCCACCCCTCTCCGTGCACACCTGTGGGTTGCCACAGAGACCTGTCCACTCCAGTGGCTCTGCCCCTTGGAGGTGAGCCCCATCTCCTCTGGCCCTCCAGGGCAGTTCCCACCATGCCTTGCACAGAGCGAACATGCACAATGATTCCTCTCCTGGGTGTGCAGGGCGGCGCCTGTGTCGGGCCAGGGAAGTGTCTCATCTGGGAGCTCAGACCGTAAAGCCGGAGGGGTTTTGAGCATCTTGGACACGGTGGCTGAGGATACCTCTGACTCCAGCTCCCAGTAGTAGATTCGGTATTCCTGAAGAAGGCTGTTCAGGCTCTTGTCTCTTGGAGGCTGCAAATACATCAAGGTCAGCCTGCCCACGGGGCCTCAAGACCTCCGCTTCAAGTTGAATCAGCCAACTGCGCTGGAGGAAGTCACTAATTCAAATAGGGGTTCTAGGTTGTTTGCAGACAAAAAGGTAGGTGCCACATTCATGAAGAGGAACACAGGGACCCCCAGGTAGAGGATCAGACCCCGAGAGCCCAGGTTTCCTGGTGCTGGTGTGTGGTACGTGGACACTGAGCATCTTAACCGAATACTTGTAGGACCCCAGGCTAAGGCGGGGACTACGGCCCAGGTAGCAGGTGGGTGAAGACGCTGCCCATTGCCTAGTGAACCCAGAACTCTAAGGAACCTATGCACGTGGGCTGGTTCTGCATCATCCACTGGCTGGCCCCAACCTGTCCCTGACAGCCACCCAGGCTCATGGCAGCCTCACTGGGGGGGGGGGGGAGTGAGTGCTCTGCATGCCAGATCATCCCTATTCTGCCCTGACTCAGACCTAAGCTGGAAGCCCCATGGTCCCTCCAATGTCAGGTGGCATAGGAAGGGCCTAGGGTAGGGGAGGTGCTCATTCAACGTTTCGACACCCTGTGGAACGTGAATGGTGGTAGCCAGGCCCTGAATCTCAGAATTTAACCCACACCAGGATGCACACAGGGATGCCCAGCTCACATTCTCCCTCCCATCAATTTCTGTTAATTAGTCTGGGGAGGGCTGCAGCAGCCAGAGTGCAGGCCAGGGGGCCAGGGGCTCTGGGTCCCGGGTCTCCTCTGGAATACTCAGCAAATAAGGACAAGAACCGCTCAAGCTGTGACCAGACAGATGGACAAAGGGCACGCCCAGGACCCCTGGCCGCAGCAGGGTGGTGAAGCTTGTCCAGAGACAGGGATGCACGCCGAATTCCCCGTGATGCATACACAGCCGCTGTCTATAGGACGTCACCAGCGTCTTAGGAAATGCTTTCCTGGTGCCAGAGTAGAGGCCACAGCTTTGTTGTAGGAAAACTCCTTTGTCGTGGGTTGAACCGTGTCCTCCTAAAAGATACGTTGGTGTCCTTACCCCCGTGACCTATGGATGCCAGCTTATATGGGCACAGGGTTTTGCAGACCTTGCAGTTAAGAGCAA